CCTGGGCCTGCTGAGGGGTGAGAGGGATCCCCAGTTCCTGAGCCTGCTGAGGGGTGAGAGGGATCCCCAGGGCCTGGGCCTGCTGAGGCATGAGAGAGATTCCCAGGGCCTGGGTCTGCTGAGGAGTGAGAGTGATCCCCAGTTGCTGAGCCTGTTGAGAGGTGAGAGTGATCCCTTGAGCCTGGGCCTGCTGAGGGGTGAGAGGGATCCCCAGGACTTGGGCCTGCTGAGGGGTAAGAGTGATCTTCTGACCCTTGGCCTGCTGAGGGGTGAGAGGGATCCCCAGGGCCTGGGCCTGCTGAGGGGTGAGAGTGATCCCCTGAGCCTGGGCCTGCTGAGGGGTGAGAGGGATCCCCAGTTCCTGGGCCTGCTGAAGGGTAAGAGGAATCCCCAGGGCCTGTGCCTGCTGAGGGGTAAGAGTGATCCCCAATTCCTGGGCCTGTTGAGGGGTGAGAGGAATCCCCAGGGCCTGGGCCTGCTGAGGGGTGAGAGTGATTTTCTGAGCCTGAGCCTGCTGAGGGGTGAGAGGGATCCCTAGGGCCTGGGCCTGTTGAGAGGTAAGAGTGATCCCTTGAGCCTGAGCCTGCTGAGGGGTGAGAGGGATCCCCGGGGCCTGGGCCTGCTGAGGGGTGAGAGTGATCCCCAGTTCCTGAGCCTGTTGAGGGGTGAGAGCGATCCCCAGTTCCTGAGCCTGTTGAGAGGTGAGAGTGATCCCTTGATCCTGGGCCTGCTGAGGGGTGAGAGGGATTCCTAGTTCCTGAGCCTGCTGAGGGGTCAGAGGAATTCCCAGGGCCTGGGCCTGCTGAGGGGTGAGAGTGATCCCCTGAGCCTGGGCCTGCCGAGGGGTAAGAGGGATCCCTAGTTCCTGGGCCTGCTGAGGGCTGAGGGTGATCCCCACTTCCTGGGCCTGCTGTGGTGTGAGATGAATGCGTTTACTGAGAGGTTGTCCAGAAATAGGAAGAGCTCCAGGTGGGGAGGATTGTGGGGAGGGAGGTGTGGCTAGTACAGGCTTCTTTTCATCAGGAAGATTTTCTAATTTCTTCAGTTTCCTATGAAACGCTTCTCCTTGATATAACTGCTGTACATCTTTCACTGTGCTCTTCCACCTGGGAGATAATGTCATTGGAGTTTGGATGACCACTTTTTCTAGCTCTGTAGGTTTTGCTTTCTTCATCTGCATCCGATCCTTTGTTTCGGTCTGTCTTTGCCTTTCAAGGTCCTCTAGCCCTCTCCCTGGCTTCTGCTTTTTCTTCTCTTTCTCCTGTTTTATGATTGGCTCCAGATGTTTCACTTCCTTCTGAATCTGCCTTATCTGTCCATTCTCCTTTTCCAAGAGCAACCCTTGTGCCTTCATTTTTTGCATCCCTTCTTCCAGCCACTGCAGGCTTGACTCTGGAAGCTCTTCTTCCTCCAGTCCTCTTTGCTTTTGCTTGTCCTCTTGCTCAGTCTGCTTTGGAGTCCTCTCTTTTTGCTCTGTCTTCCATATCTCTTCTTCCTGCCACTGTTTCTGTCTCTGTTGTTCTTGCTTTCCCTCCTTCATCTGGTGATACGCCTTTTTCTCTTCCCAATTCTCACTTATCCTCTTATAGTGCTCCTTTAAGAGATTTCTTTCTTCCAGCAACTGTTGTTTGAGACTCACACCAGACATTTGTTCTTGATCCTCTTGCAAATCCTCTTGCTCCTGCCTTTGTTCTTCCCTCTCCTTGTGGTCTTTCTGTACTTTTGGGACTGTTGAAACATCTCTTTCACTTTCAATTTCAGCCAAGATCATTTGTATTAAATTGTTAATTACTGGATCTGTGCTCTCATGTGAGAGAAAGGTACTGTTTTCAGACTTCTGAAAATGCAATCCTGGCATAAATGAGACTACCTTTTTTTGTTTTTTAGGTTTCCCAACTTGTTCTTCCTTTTTTTTATCTTTGTATTTTCTCAAGATTTTAGTCACAGTTTCAGCCACTTTTTGGAAATATTCCTCCATTTTTGCCTTTATGATTCCTAATTTTTCAGCTTCTGCTCTTTTTAATAACTCCTCTTCCTTCAGACGAGTCTTTATGTCAAAAGGCTTTCCGATGTTATCGATTTTCTGTTTTAGGAAAGCCATCATGGCGTTCTGAAATTCTTCGAGGTTACTCTGTTCACTTTTGCCATCTGGACTTTCTAGAACTCTGGTAGATTCTGAAATCTCTTTAGCTACCCTTGAGAGTGATTTAACAAGTTGATGAGATTTGACTTGTTTGGTTAACACTTCCTTCTCTTCAGTTTTTTCTTCTTTGCTTGCAGTAGTTCCTGAAGAGATATGGTGTTTTTTTCCTTTTATTTTTCCTTTCTGTGGCTCAGCGGTATAATCAGATTGGATTGTACTGAGTGGCTTCACTAGGCTTCTGATTTCACCTTTGCTTTCTTTGCGCAATGCCTCAGTGGTGGGTTCTACTTTAATCTCTGGTTCAGTTGGTCTTCTGTCAAATGGGGACTCACGTTTGACCTTCCTAAATTGCTCCAACATAATACTTGTTCTACTTCTGCCACCTTGGCTCTTTGTTTCAGTGAAAAAGAGATGTTGGCCTTTTGCTTCAGTGGGTGACTTTGATTTGACTTCAGATATGGATTTCTTTTCTTTTCTTTTCTTTTCCAGTAGCTCATAGTATTGACTAGGTTGGGCCTCTGAGACTTTCTGTCCATCTTTATTATCACTCAGATTTGGTTCAGAGGTCTCATCTACATATGTGACTTTTGTGTGCTTTTTTTTCCATGCTTGATACTCGTCACCTTTCCTCAGTGATACGTAATCTTTAGTGCCATTTTCAGAAATATCTTTGGAAGCCACAGGTTGCTGTTGCTGTTCAGTTAAATCTGGAGTTGTTTCAGCTTGGGCTGTATATGAAATAGTGGAGTCCCATGTTATCCCAGAGCCCTTGGTCCCTTTTCTTTGGACTTCTTTTACAATATTTTCAAGTTCCTTGTCTAAAATATTGTCCATATTGTCCTCAATATCATCAGCTTTGATAGTGGCCCTGGATGACTGCAGAGAAGATCCAGGTAATGCTTTCACAGTTGATGATGCAGACAATGTTTTATACACCTGTTCTGTAACAATTTTGGATCGAAGAAGTTGTTCACATTTTTCTTCTGCATCATGAAGTTTCTGCTGAAGCATTTCATTTTCGTTACTGAGATCTTGTATTATGTTCAGAGAGAGCTCCTTTCCTGCTTCACTTGTTTCATGTTCATATATAGTGGAACTTTGGAAGTTAATACCTTTTAATTCATCACTTAGCGCACTCAAAGCTTTAGAAAGGTTTACTATTGTTGATGATATATATTTAATAGCATTGTTTTCCAATGTACTGAACATTGTGGTGGCTATGAGTTCCTGTAGCATACCTTGGATTTCTGAAACCTTTGTATTTGTTGCAAACTGATCACTAATCATCTGATCTGGTCTTAAAGCATGGGCTGTTGCAGGTCGTTTCATGACTCTTTCTTTCCAAGATTTCCACAGAGTACCTCTAGATACTGAAGAAAAAAACGTAAAACTGTGAAATTGCACTTTTTCTTTTGCATTGTGTTTATCTATGTTTAAACCTAAGGAATTTAGCATAGATTAACTATAACTAATTAACTATAAGATAAAGATTAATCTGAAAACTTTAACTCTAAAATAAACAGTATTATTTTTAAAAGAATGACTCTTTTCACATAATCACCTACAACTTTTTCTTTCTTTTTTGTTGAGAGCAATCTCCCTGTTTCCCAGGCTGGAGTGCAGCAGCATGATCACTACAGCCTCAACTTGGGCTCAAGCAATCCTCCTGCCTCAGCCTCCCTGCCTCTCTGAGTTGCTGGTGTTACAGGTGCAAGCCACAGGACCTGCCAACCACCTAAAACTTCTGCTTCCAGAGTTTAGGACATGAACTCAGCTACGACCTCAACTTAATTTTAGTTACAAGTTTGGGGTTAGATATAATGTAAGACAAGGCCAGGCTTGGTGGCTCATGCCTGTAATCCCAGCACTTTCGGAGGCCAAGGCAGGCGGATCACCTAAGGTCAAGAGCTCAAGACCAGCCTAGCCAACATGGTGAAACCCCATCTCTACTAAAAATACAAAAATTAGCCATGCGATGGTGTGCACCTATAATCCCAGATACTCAAGAGGCTGAGGCAGGAGAATTGCTTGAACCCAGGAGGCAGAGGTTGCAGTGAGGCAAGATCACACCACTGCACTCAAGCCTGTATGAGAAAGAGAGACTCTATCTCAAAAAAAAAAAAAAAAAAAGTAAGACAAAACATTGCTTTGGCTTTGGTTGTGCTAATACTTTCCATTTTCTTTCTCAGATTCCTGTCTCTCCTTTCTCTTTTTTTCTGAATCAAAACTAACCTTAGTTCTCTCAAAAGTGTCATAAATTAACAGATAAAAGACACACATTTGGCCAGGCGTGGTGGCTCACGCCTGTAATCCCAGCACTTTGGGAGGCTGAGGCAGGTGGATCACTTGAGGTCAGGAGTTCAAGATCAGGCTTGCCAACATGGTGAAACCCTGTCTTTACTAAAAATACAAAAATTAGCTGGGTGTGGTGGCATGAGCCTGTAGTCCCAGGTACTTGGGAGGCTGAGACGGGAGAACAGGTTAAACCTGGGAAGCAGAGGTTGCGGTGAGCCAAGATCACGCCACTGCACTCCAGCCTAGGTGACAGAGTGAGACTCCATCTCAAAAAAAAAAAAAAAAGATTCACATTTGAAAAGATTTGCAGAATGGCTGAGTGAAAAAAATCAACAATTTTTTTTCCCAAAAGCAAAGATAAAACAGGGCAAAACTATCAAAACAACGATTTTAGGATTTTGAAAACTGACCAAAGGCATACAACACAATGAGAAGCATTTATTCACAAAAAACTACAGAACCTTAGTAACAAACAGTGAAAGTGTGCTAAATTGGAGTTGCATCCATCCTCAATCCCCTAGATCCATGGCCAGGGACTTCTACCAGAGTGAGACAGACTGTAAGGATTGACAACTCTACTGCCTACGGGGATGATTTGACTTGGCACAAAGCCTGGAAAAACCCATGCCCAGTGGCATTATTGGCTGAGGCAGGAGAATCACTTGAACCTAGGAGGCAGAGGTTGCAGTGAGCCAAGATCGTGCCACTGCACTCCAGCCTGTGTGACAGAGTGAGACTGTCTCATAAATAAATAAATAAATAAATAAAAAGAAATCATACAAAGTATGTTTCCTAATTGCAAAAAAATTATCTATAATGTTATACTAATTCTGCCTCTCTTATTGAACCCTGAGTGATATGAGTTCTTAGTACAATACTAAAATCATGATTCATTTTAAAAAATTGATAAATTGATTGATTAGATTTCATCAAACTAACACTTTTAGGCTTCAAAAACACCACTAAGAAAATGAAGACAAGTCACAGAAAGGGAGAAAATATTTGCAAATCACTTTTCTGATAAAGGACTTATATCCAGCCATGTGTGGTGACTCATGCCTATAATCCCAGAACTTTGGGAGGCTGAGGCAGGAGGATCATTTGAGCTCAGGAGTTTGAGACCAGCCTGAACAACATGGTGGGACTCTGTCTCTACAAAAAGTTTTTAAGGCCGGGCGCGGTGGCTCAAGCCTGTAATCCCAGCACTTTGGGAGGCCGAGGCGGGTGGATCGCGAGGTCAAGAGATCGAGACCATCCTGATCAACACGGTGAAACCCCGTCTCTACTAAAAATACAAAAAATTAGCTGGGCATGGTG